ATGATTAAGAACATAATAACGAAAATAGCCGCAATAAAAAATTTTATTGCTGCACGTTACTTACATAAAGATGAACAAGGACAAGGATAAGATGAACATGGATGAACTTTTATTTTTCACCGCGATGATACATCGCTACTGTTAACGCGGAGTTCTCAGCTGAATACTCAGCATTAAAAAAACAAAGTTGACTTCTATATGACCTTGACATGTCCATTCAAGATCAAACTAATAAGATCAATAAATAAATCTTTTAAATCTTACAACTTTTGTATGAAATTTCTTCCAAAAACGTCATCCTTCCGAGTAAATCCATGCCGATCATTATTGAACACCCTGTATAATATAAAAGTTATAATAATTGTTGCTGCGTATGCGTGTACGTTGTGCATGTGTGTACGCGCGTGTATTATTTTCTGTATAAGTTTTTTCTGTAAAATACGATTATTAAAATAGTTTAGGAGATATTTTATATTTTATGCCAAAATAAAATATAAAATGTTGACTTTTTGACACAATTGTATCTTAATACTTTTATATTTAAGATAATAGAAAAGTCATATAAAAAAAAAATCTATTAGAAAAAATGGCGATTATAAAAGAATTTCAACGGTGGCTCCATCCGCGAATATAATCAATATATAATCATAATATAATCATACTTCTAAATATCTCATCATAATTCTAACAACCGCGAATACGTAATACTGGACGGTTATATCACGTACTTGCATTTACAAGCCGGATACGCGTTTATTTAATGATTTTTATTAATTAATAATTGATTATTAATTGTAAAACTTGAATTAAAACTAAATTTACAGAACGTCGATTCAGTTTATTTTGTTCTTGTACGCGAAAAATATCACTATTTATTGAACATCCTATAAAAATTTAATAAGTAAATAATCATAATATACAGAGTCCGGCATCAAAATCCGGACAAAATGAACAATTTGTTTAAAAAAAATTCTATTCGTCAAAATTCGTAAAAATTACAAAACATTTGTAATTTTGATTTGATTTGATTTGTACATTACTAGTGGTATCCTTTTAGAGTAAAATTATTCTATATAACCTTTTTTCTTCGATGACTGCTTCGATCCTCGTCCTGAAGCGTTAGCACGCTCAATGCAACGCATTCTTATCCATATTGGCGAATGCCATCTCGATAGCGGCAGAGATGTCATGTTAGGATGTCTCGACTTGTTGGTTACTCGTCAATGACGCTCCACACGTAGTAGTCCAATGGATTCAAATCTGGACTGTTCGAAGGCCAAAATTTTTTAGACCAAAACATGTCCACATTATGTGACAGCTAGTTTTGAACTGACTCGTGTATGTCGACGCGCCGTCCTACTGGAAGATGTACGACTTCCCCGTGGCCACGGTATCTATCCATAGCTTCACTATTCTCGTTAAAACGCGTAAATAAACCTCTTTTATGATTTTTTTTGTTTCTTTATTTTAAAGGAAACAAAATGTGGCGGCATGACGTGACCTTTACTGGAGATGGCACCTAGGATGTAAGTAGAGAGGAAGCGGAAACTTTGTCTTAGTTATTATGAGGACATCTCGGGGATCGTAGGCAAGCCAACGGTCATTCCTTCAATCCCGGTCAATCCTTGGCATCGACAGAAAAAATTTTTTTGTTCGAAAAAGATTTGATGCATCCCGCAGCTTTGTTTTTCAACGAACACAGAAGCAAATTACAGCAAGTAATTCTGTTCATCTTGGCAGCCTCGAAGAGCATTTGTCAAACTTTTATCACATAGAACTTGAAGTATAGGTTCAACAATTCGACGCATTGTAATGTCACTCACACCCAATGTTTTTGCCAATTTCGTCAAAGACAGCCTTGGGTTCTCTGAGATGAACTCTTGAGTTCTTTTGATAATTGCTGAAGAGTCCTTACTAACTTTTCTTTCGAATGCTCTTGTCGGGTTAGTAGAACTTTTTTCGGACGTTTTCGAAGTCAAATATTTAGCCGTAACATCATATACAATCGATTTCAAATATCCGAAGAACCGAATAATTTTAGTCTGGAAATGCTCATCGAAAGTCTTCGATTATCGTTGCTCTTCGGTTATATTGTGTACTCAATTTTATCTGCTCGGACATTTTAAAGTTATGCACACTTACTACAAATATCTGACTTGCCCGAACGTCAACAACGACCTATTGCCGAAGCCAATGAGGCAGAAAATTCAAATTTAAATTTGTATGGAGTAGTGACAGATCCTGTACATAACACGATTTAGACTTTATGATCATTTCCGATAAGTAAGGAAATGTATTAATTAGTTTTGTTTAAATTTTTATATATTTTCTAATTTTTTCAATTGCGAATATTATGTGGTTCAATTGCGTTTTAGTTTTAAAAGTATTAACACTTATGTACCTGTAATTTTAAATTCATAATATTAAATTGATAATTAATTTAACATTAATGATGCCTATAAGCATTTTACAAATTTAGAAAGAAACTATTCCGAAAAATTGCAAATAAATTAATAAATTGGTAAAGACTCATTCCGAAAAGAAGAGACATCCAAGTTCAAATCAATGGTTGAGATGATATTTTTCACAATTTTTATAAAGTTTTTTTGCATTATTATAAGATTTTTGCAATATTATGCTTATAGACATTAATAATATTAAACTAATGGTCAATTTAATAATATAAATTTAGAATACCTGCTTCATTTAATATGATGAAATGCTGAATACCTGCTTCATTTAATGTGGCGGAATGCTGGCTTTGTCTGCATTATCGACAGAATGCTATTTTTCGTATCAACTTTCTTTAGGTATAACTTTTATATATTTGGAAATCTTTCTCCACAATTAAAATTCATATATTAATACATGTCCATTATATGAAATTCATGTCGAGGTTGAGAAAAACTTTTTTAATTTAGATTTTTTTTATCATTTGTTATTTTAATATGATGTCCAAAATTATCAAGTCATATCAATATTTGCCTTATATAAAAATTTGCAGTTTATATTTACAAAATTGG